AGGAGTTCGAAGCTAATGGATGGATCGAACCTGCTATAGGACCATGGTATTTTCCTGTAGTGATAGTACCCAAAAAGGTTGGGGGGATTTGCATTTGCATTGATTATCGAAAGCTGAATAATATCACGATTAAAGATGCGTATCATGTGTGTCCGAAATTGGATTTAATGCGGCTTTCGCGTTGAAAAATTCAACGCACGTTGAATTCGCGTTAAACTCCCGTTCAAACTCTAGTTGGACGGGAATTAACGGGGTCCGGGATGATTTTTTTCGTGGGCTACAAATTATCCAAAAAACAAAATTAAAAAAATGGGGTTGTAGGTTTTCTTGAGGACTACAACCCTGTATTTTTATTTTTATTTTTATTTTTTGATGCTTAAATCTATTTTAAAAAAATCAAAAATATAAACACACAATGAAAAAACAAAAACGAAAATGAAATGAGTGTTTTTGTTTTGGGTTTAACACAGATTTTTTAAGGGCTAAAACGAAAACAAAAAAATTAAATAAAAAATATAGGGTTGTAGATCTTTCAAAGATTTACAACAATTTATTTTTTAGTTTTTTTTTTGGAACTTCGTGTATTTAAAAAAAAAAAAAAACCCATAAAAAGCAAATTGAAAAAAAGAAAAAAAGACACAGACACACAAAATTGGGCCTCTAGCAGGTTGCATGAGTCTGGTGTCAGTTGGTTGAGGGAACCCAGGTCCTGGGCCGCCTGTGTGAATGGATGGAAAGCAGGCCATGGGCTGGATACGGGTACTGGGCCAAACACAGGCCAAAGACAGTTGGGGGCATGCAACCACCTCAGGCCCAAGGCCTGTTCTCGTTCGTGCTGTGGCTCAGGCTACCGGGGCCTACTGGAAGCTTCCTGGGACTGAACACAGGCAGGCCACTTCGATATAGCAAAGGGTCTGCCTCCACATTCGGCGTTCGGGTGCTGGCTGCATGCTGCGTAAGCGTTGCCGCGCTGTAGCTCGTGCCACTCACGCGCTCACGGGCAAGCAGGAAGGAGCAGCCACCATTGCCGAGTTGCGCTGTTGTAAGCTGGGTGTGGCGCAGGGTGGTCCTTGGGTGCAAGTGGAATCTGTGTGTTGGGGAACGAGGTTGTGAGTAAGGCGAGACACACTCTCACGCGCAGGCACAGACACACTTACACTTACACACACACACACACACACTTACAAACACACACATACACATACACACTTACAAACACACACACACCTGTCTCTTATACACATCTAGATGTGTATAAGAGACAGCCGGGAAACAGTGGCTAGGCAGAGTGTTTGAAGCGAGTCGGAAAGTCCTGTCGGGCTGACGATAGACTGGCCGGTTGCACGCTGGATCACCACGA